AGCCACTGCACCTGGCCAACCTGATAGTATTCTTAACACAGCTTGTTTTCCTGCCGTCATGAAAACTAGACTTGCTTTAAAGTCTTTAGAGTCTCAGTTCATATTCCAGGCATTGTTTTATATAAATATCATCTGTTTATTTTTTCTTTAAGCAAATTTCATAAACTCCATCTAAAAAAAAAAAAAAATCATCTGTCAAAGAAGAGCCTTTCAACTTCCAGTTCTGTTTATGTAAGAACACCCTTTCTTCAACCTGGAATCTTGGACATTTTGCCACATGCTGAATATTTCTACGACTTTCTTTTTGTGTCTATCACCTTGATGTGAGTTGTCACCTTAACTAGGTAAGACGGTTGTGGTCTGCTGAGTAGAACAAGCTACTTTTTCAAGAAACTAGCTGAAAGGTTTCATAACACCTGGTCTTCAGTGGGTCAAGGCAGTGCTCCGGGGCCAGGCCATCTGATAAAGGGAGTGGTAACTTTGAAGTGTGGCTTATAAAGAAGCTGTTATTTCCACAGCAAGGGAAAGCGGCAGTAAAGAAAACAGGGTTTTGCAGTTCCACTGGAAGGAGGATGGGGAAGGTCAGAAATCAGGGCGGGACCTTCGAGAGCAGCTGTCAGCACTGGGCAAAGGCTGAGACAGGTGAGCAGTGGGGATCTCTGAATGACATGCAGGGTTCTGTGCCTAAGACACACTTTTGTAGTCTTCATTGATAGAATCCCATCATTTTCCTTTTTCTTTTTCAGATGGATTTCACTCTCTTGTCCCAGCTGGAGTACAGTGGCTTGATCTTGGCTCACTACAGCCTCCACCTCCTGGACTCAAGCAATCCTCCCACCTCAGCCTCCTGAGTAGCTGGGACTGTGGGCACGCTGCCACCATGCACGGCTATTCTTTAGTTTTTGTAGAAACTGGGTCTTCCTGTGTTGCCCAGGCTGGTCTCAAATTCCTGGGCTCAAGTGATCCTCCTGCCTTAGCCTTCCAAAGTGCTGGGGATTACTGATGTGAGCCACTACACCCAATCCCATCATTTTCCTATATCGGTCTCTGAAATGTTTCAACCTGAAGACCTAGGCAAATTTCGTTCATTATTTGAGATTTTCCTGTGTCAGTAAAGGGCTCAGGTTGCCATACAAATATCATATACTGGGTGGCTTACGCAGTAGAAATTTATTTTCTTGAAGTTCTGGGGGGTGCAGTTTAAGACCTTCGGGGGGGTGCAGTTTAAGACCCAGCAGTGTTCAATTTCTGGCGAGGGTTCTCTTCCTAGCTTGCAGATGACCGCCTCCTCACTGTGCCCTCACATGGCCTTTCCTTGATGCACGTGTGCAGAGAGAGCTCTCTGGAATCTCTTTTATGAGGGCCCTAATCCCATCAGACCACCTTCATGACCTCGTCTAACCTTAATTACCAACCCAAAGCCCTATCTCCTAATATGTTGGGAGTTAGAGCTTCAACATATGAATGTTGGATGGGCACAAATACTCAGTCTGTAACAGCACCCTACCATGCTTTTGGTTGCTGACACTAAAATCCTCTGTCCCCTTCATCTCTCCTGCTTGAATCAAACTCATCACAAGTTCTTCTCCATTTGTCAACATTGACTTTAAATTAGGGCCATAGGCCGGGCGCAGTGGCTCACGCCTGTAATCCTAGCGCTTTGGGAGACCAAGGCGGGTGGATCATCTGAGGTCAGGAGTTCAAGACCAGTCTGGCCAACATGGCAAAACCCCATCTCTACTGAAAATACAAAAATTAGCTGGATGTGGTGGTGAGTACCTGTAATCCCAGTTATTTAGGAGACTGAGGCAGGAGAATCGCTTGAACCTGGGAGGCAGAGGTTGCAGTGAGCCGAGACCACACCACTGCACTCCAGTCTGGGCAATAAGAGTGAAATTCCATCTCAATAAACAAACAAACAAGGGCTGTAACCTCCTAAGTGGTTTTCTCTTCCCCTTCTATCTTGCCCATCCTCCAAGGTGATTTCTGCCTCAGGGCCTTTGCACTGGCTACCTCTGTGTATTAGTTTGTTCTCACGTGGCTAATAAAAACACACCCAAGGCTGGGTAATTTATAAAGGAAAGAGGTTTAATTGACTCACAGTTCCACATGGCTGGGGAGGCCTCACTATCATGGCAGCAGGTGAATGAGGAGCAAAGTCATGTCTTACATGGTGGCAGGCAAGAGACAGAGCTTGTGCAGGGGAACTCCCATTTATAAAACCATCTGATCTCATGAGACTTATTCACTACCACAAGAACAGTGTGGGGGAAGCTGCCCCCATGATTCATTTGTCTCCACCTGGCGCTGCCCTTGACACATGGGAATCATTACAATTCAAGGTGAGATTTGGGTGGGCGGACAGCCAAACCATATCACTCTGCCTGGGACTTCCTCACCTCCCCAGTCTGCTGCCACCTTATCAGTCTCAGTGAAAATGTTGTCCTCTCCGAAAGCCCTTTCTTGATCACTCTGTCAAAAGAACCATCCTCCACCTTTACTCTTACATTCTTCTGTTTTCTCTTCCAGACGTCTCGTGACAGGTTATCGCTTTACTTGTTTGTCTCTTTCAGGAAAAGAGAAGCTTTGTGAGAACAGGCCTTTGGCTTGTTCACTTCTGTGTTCATAGTGCCTGATAACCCAGTGGTTGCTCAGTCAATGTTTATTGAAATGAATGAATGAAGTCAACAGAGATTTATTGAGGCTTCCTGTGAACACTCCTATGCCCAGTATTAGAGGAGTCCCAGATAAATATAAAAATCCCCAGAGGCCGCAGTGAGA